CCATATAGGCCTTTACTAATTATGGGAAAACTGACTACATGGAGGTGGTTACAAACAAAATTTAAACGACTGACAGGAACAGATGATGCATATTCCAAAAATTTCCTGCCATCATCCTGTCCTTCTTGACAAAATGACTACCTCTCTGAGTCGGCCAAGATGCTTCCTTCTTCTTTAAGTCTCTTGCTTTTGCTCCTTGCATCCTCCAATAAGATGACATTCCGCTGCTTAGCAACCTTCATCCAATGGGACTGTGGTAAATTATCACTCTCTTCGTCACTGTTTTCCTCTTGTTGACCTGTCACCTTCTGAAATTTGGAAGCAGCAGTCTTAGAAACACTTTCCCCTGCTTTCCGTTTCCAGCCAAAGGTCGTCATTTTTCACACGTGGAGCGCTGCTGGAAAGTTTTAGGTTGACATTTTTATCTTGAAATTTCTAGGTAATATGCCTCGTGGTAACATGTTGGTCCTTGAATAAATCTTGGGTCCAATTTTGTCCTGTCCATAACTGGAGCATGATTTTGTCAGTTTAAAACACATTCTTTAATTTCCAATAATGTCAAATTAACTGCCAGAGATAACTAAGGTTTTACACTGTAAGTCAATTTAAAAAATATATTTACACTGGTCAGGTCACGAAATGGTACGCTGGACCCCAAATTTATGGAATGACCATACGTTGTACACAGAGAAGTGTAAGTCAATCCCCCTTGCTGTTAAGATACATGTATATGTACAATGTATTGAATCTGAAGTTCCGAAGTGGAAATGGGAAGAGTTCCATATCCAGCCACCACATACTCATCACCAAATTAATGCCACCTAACTTTGGATTTGCATTAAAAATGGAAAAACCTTAACAACTTGGAAAACCTTATGCCGTGTGTATGGGCCCTACTTCGGAGCTGCATGTATGCTGGTCTGAGTAAATAGATGGAGTTTACAGATTATCTTTTTGACATTTGACTGAGATCGGGCAAGGACTCCAGGAGTATCAATGAATGTGTTTATGATGCCAATGATGTCAAGTGCCCTAGGCACAAAAATTTATCCCGAAATCACATTTTACTACTTACTACTAACTAATGTTTTGTAGGGTCCGAGGGCCTATACAGTTACATGTACTAAGACCTCATTGCATGTCTTACAGAACTATGTGCAGACTGGCCGAGTATTCATGGTATTGGCCTATCGTCTTCTCAATGCACCAGTGTCAACATACGTCACTTACTATCTCAAAGTGCTCTAGTCCTACGTAGCGTGTTTCTTTTTTTTAATTACAGAACCATCTCAGGATATCCATGTTAAGCATTGGCCTCTGAGCCTAGGCCTAAGTACATGATATATGTCATGCAGGCCTATGACGTATTGATTAGGAGAATGAGTACTCTATGCCTCGTGACGCATGGAACTAGGAAGCTTCCCGTTTTGAAATGGCAGACTTTCCTTTAAAAAAACAAACTTCCAGAATCACGATTATAGCCTTTATTTCTTTCAGGTTCCCATGGTGTAACAAAGTTTGCTGCCTGGCAATCAGGATAACATAGCTACCGATCCATTGATCGATTATGTTGGGAGCAATTGGCGGCCATCGGGCCGACTAGTAACTAATGGCCGATCTGCGCGATCCTGCACGCCAAGAATGTCGTCTCCAACTTTTCTTCTCTTTTGAAATATGAAACAATCCGTTCACAACTAGAACTGTGAATTAGACTTGAAAGAACAAATACTTGGCTAACAGCGGAATCGCCGAAAAACCGTGCGATTTATCTTGATCCAAGCTGTACTGCTGCACAGATTGGACCCGCTAAAGAGTTCAGTCTAAGTCAAAGCACGCTCGTTCATGTTTTCAAAACAATACAGGTGCATCCAACTATTTGGGCATGCAGTTGCACGTTTCACGTAGTCTTGTTCCCAGTGACAGGGTCACGCAGCGATCGATTAATTTTGTAACGATAACTGCGATTGGTTGATTTCGACATTACCTTTTTGTAAAAGCGACACGTGATTGGTTCACATGACCGGGTCAATTTAAAGTCCACGGGCACTGCACTGGCCTTGCACAGCAGCTGCAGTCGTACGTACATGTACATGTACGGTCATGGTACTGAAGGTAGATTGGCTGAATTCATGAAGCTTGAAGGTAGGAAAACAAACTTGCACGTCGTATCTTCTTTTTGATCGTTTGTTTTGTTTGCTGTCTTGTAGTTGTTCGTGTTGTCCTTGTTCAGGTGTTATGTCTTCTGTCCTAGGGGCTGTTTATACAAGCCTCTGCTTATTTCACAGCCCCATGCTCTTCTCTTTTCTCAGTTGTACATGGACTTACTTGTATCTTATCATAAGCTCTAATGTTCTCTTCTCATTAAGCACAAGTATCTATAAAGGTTATATCATCCTCATTGCTAATTTCAATGTACTAAGTTTCTTAGATTTCTGATGTATTTTCTTAAGCTTATTTATTTTGTCAATTTCTATGTACCAACTTCTCTTAATTAATGTACATGTAATGTTTTTAAAAGAGTATAGAATTAACGTTTTCTTGAATTGAATTGAAGTTGAAAACCAGCCTGTTACTTTCTTCGAGGGTGAAACAATAGGGCCAAAGCCTTATCGCCAATACGGCATGAGTGATTTTGTATGGCAAAAGGTTCAATGTCTGCTCCTTTTTCCTTCCCACTGCTTTTACCATTTTCATTAAGCAAAATCACCCATGCACTGATGCAGTATTTGCGATAGGCTTATTAAGGAAAGCTACACATAGCAAGAAATTTCCAACAACAGGAGATTTCCCTCTGCCATAAGCCATATCTGCCCATGACATGGAGAGGACACATTTCATTGTGTCCTTCCTCCAGCTCACGCTCTGTCTATGTCCAGTCATTTCCTTCTATAGTGCTCAAAGTTATTGTTTATGTGAGTGCATTCCAAGTTTCATGATTATCTTGGGCAGTGTTGAAGAATCCTGAGCCATGTTTGCACGTACATGTAGGCCTAATGTTAGGTCTACTGTAATTTGAATGAACCACATTACGTAGCCCAACATCAACGTGCATATAAAGTTTTCTACGTCTAACGTTAGTTACACAGACATGAACATTGACATGACTGACTTTGAATCTACCAACATGTAGGCCAACACGTACATTGTACATGTACATATACTGTATGAACGTATGGTCATGATGATGTTGGTTGGCAACGCTTCATTTTTGTTGATGAACTTGGTCCGAGCAATGGGCCTTTATGAATGACTACATGTACCTCTTTTAACATTTGAACATGGGCGACCCTTTCAAAAAGAGCCCTTTTTAGAATTACACATTTAAAAGATACAATAATTTTGAATTTACCTGATGCATTTAAAAAGGGCTCCTTTTGGACCCTCTTTTTTGACAAAAATCAACAGCCTACTGGGCAACACATTGGGTAACAGGCCTTGAACATGATCAGTACATGTTCATGTACTTGACGTTTGGCGGACAAGTTGGTGCATGAGTTGGTCAGTGTACGAGTTGCTTGGAGTGTGTGAGTTTTACAGCATTCATTTTAAGTGTGTAGTTGAGCTACATGTGTCATGGTAATTTTCGTTTAGTTTCTGGAACTATTTTCAGTTTGTAATACCTAATTCTGTAAGCTAGGAGACTATAATTCACACTACATGTACTGTACATTGTAGACTTCTCAAAGCAGAACACATGTACATGTATGTGTACACTGTATGAGGCCTGTGGGTGTTTGGCATGATGAGCCTATCAATTGCATTGTGCTGTGACTGAGTCATTCCTGCAAGAAATCTCTGACTTTACTTCCCTTTTTCCAAACAGTTCCACAACAGCAGATCAGAAAAAAAACGATTTGCTTTAACTATGTCGTTTTGACTGTCCTTATTAGAATTTCTGAAAGTACAAGGGTATTTAAATGAAACATTTATGTGACTAATTTTTTTTTCTGTACGCAGGTCTGTATGTGAATACATATATTCTGCAAGCTTTGCTGAGATGAATTCAAGTGAATTGTGTTGCACTGTTTCTACAGTGAAGATGGCTCTCACAGGGGAAACACTAAAACGGACAAATAGTAGAAATGCCACCTTGGTTCTTGGTCGCAATGAGTTTCGTGATATCATACTCTGCTTGAAGCATCCAAAGAACAGTGCCAAATATCTGATGCGGGACATTATTATTCACAAACGCTTTGTTAAGGATGGCAAAGCATGTATTCAGCTTCCAAGCCAAAATGTACAGATTATGATCTCCAACTGTCCTCCCCACCATCTTGCTGCATTTCTGAAGTGCCTGGTGATTAAGGAGGAGAGTGCAAAGGAGCAGAAGCCTGTCAGTGAGAGGACTAGGCTGCTGTCTGAACTCCCAAGAAAGTTTGAGGAAATCAGCCCTCTCTGTGAGAAGGACGTCAATGCTGTCAATAGTTCCCGGGCTAGGGAAGCAGAGGCAAGGGGCACAGCAACAACTCCGGCTGGTCCATTCAAGAAAAAGAGCCTCAAACGGTTACGGGAGAAAAGTTCAGCTGTAAGTCCTTAAATTAGCCGGTTTGGAGCATGACCAACACAATAGAAGGGTGCTATTTGAAGTGAATTAATTTGGAGTAAACACAAAAGATTTAACCTAAACTAAATAGTGCCCTCCTAAACACCTTACTTCAAATAGGTTGATAGGTCTATAGCTGCATGTACTGTACTTAGAGAGCTACACCTTAATTTCGTGTTATCAAAAGATACAAGTGGCTTCATGAAGTTAGAATTTACAAAATACCATTTTCCATCTTGTTTCACTTTTGTTCAGAGTGAAGATGGGCCACAGAGGAAGAAGCTGAACATCTCCCTCAGCAAGATAGAACTTAACCAGCAACAGTCCAAGGTCCTTAATGCTGTTCTTGCTGGACACAATGTATTCTTCACTGGTAGTGCAGGCACGGGGAAGTCTTTCCTCCTGAAGAAGATCATTGGCGCTCTTCCCCCTGATAGCACATTTGCTACAGCTAGTACTGGTGTTGCAGCATGCCACATTGGTGGGACAACATTACATCAGTTTGCAGGTTATTGTTTCCATTAATGTGAATTAAACGAATACAAATATTTTTGTGTCCCTAATCATTTCATAGAGCCCAGTTGATACGTTTAGTTGGATGCTTTAATCTAGACAGTTTGACTACATACATACTCTATCTAAATATGTAAGTCATATAATAAGTGATTCTGTTCCTCTAGCACACACCTGTCACAGAGCCGGATGTTGGCTAAAGCACTGTTTACTATGACTATCTTGATGTGTAAATGTGCCCTTTCTCTATGAGGGGGCAATTGTTTCATACATACGTATGACTTTGTACTGCAATGTACATAACATAACTAAAAATTCAAACATTGTAAGAGATATTACAGAGGACATTTGAAGTTGGTTGGCTAAGTTGATTGAGGCGATATTGAAAATAGCTTTACTTTCAGATACCAAAGAAGAAATTCTTAATCCTTATGGAGTCAAGATCTCAGATCAATTATTTTGGACTTTATTCAGAATAGTTTATGTCCAATGTTGCACATAATTTCATTAAATGATTGCCAGACAGTAATTTACAAACTTATAAATGCTTGGTTTGATTTACAAGTTGCATTGTGGTGATACAGGAAAATTTGTACATCTGCAGACTTCCTTGCTCCTTTAGGGTTAACTGGCCTCTTAATTGATTTATGAGCATTTTGTTCTTTTAGGCATTGGATCTGGTAATCATCCTTTACTACAGTGTATTCAGCTTGCATCTCGACCGGCACGTAAACAACTGTGGCGAAAGTGTCGACACCTAGTTGTAGATGAGATTTCCATGATAGATGGAGAACTTTTCACCAAATTAGAGGTACATGTACATTATGAGGAAAAGTTACTTTGCTAAATAAAAGTTAAATTGCCAAATAATTCACTAAATATTATATACATCTAGCAGTCTTGTTATTGTACATGTATAGACCTTTTTCACCTTCATGTCCGTGACTGGTTTGCACTAAATATAAACAATACCACCACCTGAGGCCACCGTGGCCAATGTGGTTGCATATATCCTACAGCAGCTTCAACCAAGTAAAAGCGCATTTGCAAACACTGCATGCTTGACTAGTTTATCTTGAATAAGTAGATGACCATCACAGCACTATTCACTCATCTCCATCACAACACATTGCGGTCCAGCACAATTGTGTCATCACAGGAAAAAGGTGGGAAAAATAATACATGTACATGTAATTCATTCATTGAGTCAGCCACGTTTGTAGTCCAATCGATGCCAAGCCCAGTCATAAATAACAGGTTTGGCTAAAATAACTAAGAAAGGCATTGAGTTTGCCAGAGTTTCTACTAATATCTTAGTCATTACATACACACTTCTTATTTTCACCACAGGTTTTTTTTATGTTTCCTGTTTTAATATACATGTTTATACACCTTTGTTGAATTTTTTTGGCAGATGTAGCTTGTGAAACCCACACTTAAGTACAAACCTCTTGAGAACATCAGATGGTGTTATTTGGACCTCTTGCATTTTTGAAATAAAGAGTAATTAGGTTTTCACTGTTAAGCAGTTCAGGCAAATGTCAAATCTTTGGGAGGCAGTTAGTTCTTTTCTAAAAGAGAGTTAATGCTGGGTTTCTTAAGTTGCCTCACTTTATCTCTTCAGGGCATTACCCAGAATGCCAAATGTCGTGATGAAACCCTTTTGAGGTATACAGCCCTTCCTCAGCAGTAAAGTTAATCCAGGTTTTCCCATTGCTTATCTATGTAGGCCATTGCCAGGGCAGTCAAAGGTAACAATAAACCTTTCGGAGGAATCCAGCTCATTGTTTGTGGTGACTTTCTACAACTACCACCAGTTACGAAACCGGGAGAAAAACGCAGTTTCTGCTTTCAGGTACACGCTTTTTACACATGCAATAAACAATTCACTCTTCTGGTATTGTTACAGTTTATGTTGAAATTGATGCGTACATGTATAATTGATGTAGCGGTACATGTATTTTTATTCAAGTGTTTAAGATAGTACATTTACTGACAATATTCAGCTGCCTGTGGTTTTCCTGAAATGAAATAAAGCAGTGAAGTGAGTTAAATTGAATAAAAACCTGACACTTACATGAACATAACAATTTGAATTTTCCATACTAAAGGCACTGTTGCTACTTGTACTGTATACATTGTGATTTGGGCAAACTTTTGTTAAGTTACATGTACATAAGAGAGGCCTTGCACCAATATAATGATTTCAATGGATAAGAAGGGCACAAAGGTACATGTACCATGGCCAGTCCATTCCAGAGATGGTGGTTGCTATGCAAAAGCTTTCCCCGAATTACGAGGTATAGCGGCAACAGTATCTTTAGTCTGGGGAATTCAAATTATGTTTCTAGGCAATCAGGAACCCTAGTGTACCAGATTTTATTCAAATTTAACTTGCAAAAGGCTTATTTAATAGACCTTTTTCACCTACTAGATCGCGCTAAATGTAAACAATACCACCACATCTTGACTGCTTTGACCATGGTGATTGCATATACAATGTGCATGTATTCCTATGGGCAGCTTGAACATTGTACAAATGCACTTGCATGCACATCCTGCATGCTTGACTAGTTTATTCCGAATAAGTGGATTACCATCACAAAACATCACAGTCCAGCATGATTGTGACATCACAGGATTCTATAGACCTTTTTCACCCACGTGACTAAATGTAAAGAGTACCACCATGTGTGGACCACCTTTGCCACGGTGATCGCGTATATTTCTATGGACAGCTACAACCACGTGCAAGCGCATGTGCGAACGCTGCATGCTTGACTAGTTTATCTTCAATAGGTAGACTTCCATCCCAACACTATTCACTCAATACCATCACAACACATCATACATGTAGGTCCACCATGATCGTGACATCAGAGGAAAAATGTCTATGCAGCACCTTTCAGTTCAGTTTATTTCCACTTACACATGTCAAAACAGTGAATCCATTAACACTTTTAAATGAAGCAAGTAATCGATAGTAAGTGGAGGAGGTCTCCAAAAACGCAGGGCTTGTAAACTGGGGACCCCTTTGGAATTGTGTACATATAGATTGTGCTAATTACATTTACATGATTGTTATGCGAAAACTTGAGAGAAAATTTAAAGCTTTGCTTTGTTCTTTAAGCCATCCACCATGTTAGTGATGGCTGGAGCAAAGACCTGAAAAAAATTAAAATAAATAAATTTCTGTTTGGCATGGAAAGTATACATGTACAAAGTAAGCTGGTACAACGTACCTTTGTAATTAAAACCTAAGCAACAAGTTGCTGTATTGAGAACAAATTTGTTGTTGATCAGCAACCTGTGCAACACTGCAACATGCAACATCTTTAATTGGGAATGAATCACATACAGCATAGGTGGGATTTAAATTTGGGCCACAAAGGTGAAAGACCGTAAAAGTTGAAGACCGCCGTAGCCAATTTGAATGATACCACTGTCCACTTGAAAATATTAGCTGAAATGGTTTACGTATTCAAATTGTACCACCCTTTTCACAGTCTCGGGCCTGGCACAGGTGTATACAGTTGACTATGGAACTGACGGAAGTCAAACGACAAGAGGACCCTGTCTTCATTGACATACTTCAAAAAATACGTATTGGCAGGTATTTCAGCTCTTTAGAACTACATGGACATGTAGCTAGCATGTGATAGGGTACCGTGAATTTAAGCAGTTGATGATTATACATGCATGCAGGTGTCTAATTTCATCTTTTACAATTTACAGACATAACTGACAGAACCATACGGACCTACCCTACTTTATAGAAATTGCCTTTATCTGCAAATATAGATTTGCTAGTAACAACAGAAAAATAAATACAGCTGACTCTCTTTATAAAGAAAACTGTACTGTAATAAGGAACAGATTTTCAGAATCTCAATTTCTTGAATTCTTGTGTGCTTCTTCTTTATTGTTCCAATCCTCTTATTCCTACTTTCCTCTTGGGATTTTAGCAACATTTTAGAATATGCTTGAAATACATGTATGTGTACTTCATTAAATTAAAGTAATAAACATGATATCAATTCAGTTATCTTTAAAGACGTGTATTCAATCTCTGTAGTCCGTACAAAGTTTTGTGTCAATCAGGTGTTCTGTCTCTAATTTTTTTTGGGGGGGATCAACTTGTCTGTTAAAGTGAAAATAAAGTCTTAAAAACCCCAGTCTGAATATGATGAAAGTAGTAAGTCGGTTGTAACACCTTTAAAAACAAGGTTGTATTGTGGTGGTGTCACTGAATCTACCAAACTTTGAGAAAAACTAAAAAATGAAGATGACTGTTCATTTTTACTTCTAGATGTTCACAGGAAGTGTGTGACCATTTGACAGTGACTGCCAAGCACAGCATTGACAGAAACGGTATTATAGCAACCAAGTTGTGTACTCACAAGGCAGATGTTGACCTCTTGAATCAGATTCACCTTAGAAAACTGCTAGGTAAGAATGGCCCTGTGTTTTTGAAACTCTTATTTACTGCTGTATTTCTATCAATTTGCACATCAGTATGATTTCACCTCAAGAAAGATAGCAAACTATGTATTGGATAATATGGAAGATAAAAATCTGGCAAATAAAATTTGTCTAGGAAATGCTTCACATGACAAATTTGTTTTACATTGTTCATTCATTACTAACTCCATGAACTCCATTAAAGCATATTACTTACCTTTCTCTAGTCAACATATTTATCTGCTTTGACATGTAGTCATCTTTTTGTCATACTTAGGAAGAACTTATTAGACTGTTAAGTCATACCAAGCGTACTTGAAAGGGTTTCTAAAATTCTCAACACACCAACAGGGGACCCTAGAGTATACCAGTCACTAGACAGTGACCCTAATCTTGTCAGTGTCATCAACAGCCAGTGTCCAGTGCCACAGAAATTGGAGCTGAGAGTAGGAGCCCAGGTAATGCTGGCGAAGAATCTGGATATTCAACGAGGTTTAGTTAATGGAGCTCGTGGGGTGGTGACAGGCTTTGGTGGTGGAGAATCAGGTACATGTTGCAATTAAAATTTGGGCCAAGCAGACTTCAGCCTGCAAATTTTACTATTGCTTTTTTCAATAAAATCTTTCTGTCAAATTGAAAAATTGTTTTGCTCAATCAAACTCCCGAAGAAAAGATTGGTTTTATGCACGTGTTATTGTTACATGTAATATATTTTTTAGTGTAATTAGAAGTTTTTTCCAAATGCTGCTCACGCATGATGTGACCTCTTGAGCATTTGGGGGAACCAGTGATTCAGCCAACTGTCTTTTTCGTCTTTCAGAGATCATGGGAAAATACTCTGTCAAAGTCTATCAAATTCACAAATTTATGCAGCTTAAATTTCTGGCTGCATGCTCAGTTAGAATTAGAGAGCAGCTTATTCAACCAATAAAAAAGTCAAAACAACATCAGCAGTTCCTTGAGCTCTGTAAAAAGGGTTGAATAAACATAAGCACAGGTAATAGCCTCGCCAAATGATTGATGAAAAAAAAGTTGTGTTTACATGATTCTTTCACATTTCACTCATTTAAGGTCTTCCTGTTGTCAAGTTCATGTGTGGTATTGAGCAGATGGTAAAGATGGAACGCTGGCCAATCAGAGCTGGTGCAGGGATCACTCTTAGCCGTACACAGCTCCCGCTCAAACTAGCCTGGGCTATCTCAATACATAAAAGTCAGGTGAGAAATATCCCAGGAAAATCTTTCAGAATTGTGGACAGTGGTTTATCCAACACGTCCAAAGAGACAAATACAAAAAGATTATGAAATCCCATGAGCCACTGACCAAACAGTCTAAATACATGGACATGTACATGTATCTCAGTATCTACAAGTTTGCTTTTTCAACCATGGGGCTCATTCAATCAAGGACCAGTAGTTAACTTGTGGTTGGCTCATGATGTAACAAGTGCATGTGCAATGAAGTTGAAGTGCAAGTGACTAGTGGAACTATTGTCAGCAATGGCATATCAAGTTGTTGGTGTCAGGGGTAGTAAATTCAAAAGTGAATATGGCTCCAGGCTCATTCAACATGATGTGGGGGAGAAAAAAATATCAAAAACCTTACTTGCGGTCCTGATGCCCGCCTGGCTTTTATTTCATGGTGTTGCTTTCTTAAGGTGTGGGTGCTAATATTTTATAAATAAATTCATAACACACCTCTTCTTGGTTCATCTTTATCCTGATTGGCTGAAATACAGTCACATGTGGTTCACTAATATAGGCTAGTACATGAATTTGGTGTCGGTGTGACTTGACATACACCTAGACATTGCACATCAGTTCCAGAGACTAGTGCAGAGTCAGGTACCAGTCTTGAAAATTTTTGACTGGTTATTGCGCCCTCTGGAGGTTGTCCTGAATTGAAACAGTTCAAACCCTGGAAGATTTCTTTTCCTAGTTGTATACAGCAACTCAAAATTAGACTGCGTCTATGAAAACTGAAATGAACCTTCATTTTTTGGGCAACTTTTGAAGTGCTATTAAAACTTGAATTAAAACAGTTAAAACCCTGAAAGAATATTTTTCTAGTATGTGGTGTGTTAAAAACACATCGACTGGCCAAATTTGGTCACTAGTATGTCCATGCCCTCTTGGGCCTGTTAGTGACTAGAAGAGTCCCGTTTCCCTCAAATAGGGCCCTCTTCTGGTCACCACAGTCGCGAGGGGACATAGACATGCACTAGTGACTTCACTGCCAGTCCATACATGCATAAAACTGATTACTTTCTTACCTATGAAGTATGTATTTGCAAGAAAAAGTCAGAAGGGGTAAGTTGTCCCCCATAGGCCACTGATTGTCAGGTCAAAGATGGGCAAGGTAATAGTAAAAAAGCAAAGTAAACATGTTGGTTTACTGTATCAGAGGCGGATCCTGATATATTTTCAGGTTGTCAGGCCAAAGAATTTTTTAATGTCTCATTTTTGTGGACCAGTGATGGAACATACCATGAAATACACTGTTTACAATGGTATTGGTGCTCTTAATTTAGTTATTTTTATTTTCTCCATTTTTTAAAAACCTTTTAAACCAAATATGTGACCAACCTCAAAAGGCTGAATGTGAATAGTCGACTACTATAGTCCAACAGCAAGTGTTTGATCAGAGTTAGTCAAACTATGGTCAACCATGATCCTTGATAAAACTTGCCACTTTCTATTGCATCGGCTAGCAGACACAGGAAGTTGATGATAGCTTTTTGTCTTCACCAAACCTTGGTTCATTGACAGGTTGTTATACACGTACAATGCAAATGTGTTTTCTTTTGAACGATATCAGTATTTCTCCCCGTCTGTTTGCTCCACCATTTCTTGCATTGTGAAACCTTCACATTAGAGCAGGACGGGTATTTGCTTATCTTTTTTTCCAGGGCATGTCACTGGACTGTGTGGAAATTTCTCTATCTCGTGTCTTTGAATGCGGCCAGGCCTATGTAGCCCTGTCTCGAGCACGAAGCCTGGAGGGGCTACGTGTGATTGACTTTGACAAAGCTTGTGTGCATGCCCACCCAGATGTGCTGAAATTCTATCATGAGATGCGTCGAGAACAGCGCATGTTGCAGCCAAGCACTGATGACTATGAAGAGAAGGAGAATATCAGACATTACTGACAATCAAATCAGATCAGGTTTTGTCACAAGGTAATAAAAGTCTAATTCTTTCGCCAAACAACTTTCATGGAAATTGGAATAACAAAGAGCAAATGCACACATAAATAACAAAAAGGTTGGCAGCAGATTGTGAGATGTAAATTATCTTTTTGTACTGAAGGACATACATGTAGTTATTATGTATGATTTGGAAAATGTTGAAATCGCCATTTTCAAAATTCACAAATAAGACAGCAGAATTGCACAGGAATGTTTGGAAGACTCTTCATACATTACTTTTAAGTGCAAGGTTTTAAAATGTTTTAATCAAAATATCAGTGCTAATTATAAACCTTAGAATTTTTCCGGACAATAAATATACAGTGTAAATACCAAAACAAAACATAATGTTGGATTGTATACTGTAGTTTTAACCCTTCGTATGATTTTTATGTATAATAAGCTTTAATAAATCACTGGAAATCCCAAAATGAAACACTGCTGGTGTGGACTGACAACTTAAACCACATACACGATGTCAGAAGTGTCTGAATCTCGTGAATAATTCAATACATATACTACAAACATAAAATAAATCCAAAGCTTTCATTTACTTCGTAGTGTACAATTGTACTATTGATGATGAAGTGAGGCCATGCTAATCTTATGGAACTCTGATATTTGGTGAAAATGTTTACTACATGCTTACCTCAATTTTTATGAAAAGTAACACTTTTACATTTGCATTTACAAACCAAAAAATGTTGTAAAGTAACTTTGCAGTGAGCAAGTCCTTCAAGCTTGATTAAGTTGCCCACAATCATTTCATAACATTTGCCTCACAAATTGTTCATTTGTTTCACCGCATCAGTGATGAATACCAACCTCAGTCAAATTGAACCCCTTTGGCAGCTTTCCGTCTGTACAACAAACAAATCCAGAAAAATTTTAAAAATTGCATGAAATGACTCAGTTTTTATCACGAATCAGCAATTTGAGAAAAATTGCCGATTTGTTTTGGTTAAAAACCAAATAATTTTGGTTAAATACAATTGTTTCACCTACATATCGGTAGTATGGACATTGCTTTGTTCTGTGATCAAGAGAGTTCAGCAAAATGCTCCTTTTTCCTCATTTGCCCCAGATAGCCCTGACCCTCAAATGTCTCTGAAAAGCTGTTTTATAGAGGGGAAAAACATTTGGTGGACGTATGCCAAGTACATTATGCAAGTACATGTAGGTCCACACTGTGTATGCCATACCTGCACACACAATAAGATGATACATCAGTTCAAGTCAAAGACATCCTCTTGGATATGCTTGAAAATCGCAATATTCATAGACTCGTTTTTGTAATTAAATGCAAAGCTTTTGTGAATGTGAAAGGAGAGGAAAGTGAAAAAAATAAGTAGTAAACTGTCAATATAAAAAGGTACATACACTGTAGATGACCTACAGTATACATGTATGTGTATTGAACTACAAGGCTTGAACCATAAAAATACCGTAGTAACTATTGAACGTAAAGAAACTTTTAGCATGATGGCTCAGGTACTGGCAGATACTCCATTCACAAAGAAAGCATGTTAGGGTATTGGAGCAAACTCACTTTTTACTGCTTGGGTTGACTATGCTATGACCTTGCTGCTTTTGCACTCTGACCTGTCCCGACCTCTTTTTAGAATCAATATCTATAGTGTATGGAAACAACAAATTAAAAGCTGGCACTTATGAAAGCTAATCTCTTGCTGTTTGTTAGCCGTTAGTATTTGGAACAAGTGCAGGTAAATTTTTCACGGAAAACGATTACATGTATGCTGGGCACTATTGTAAGACATCGATTTAAGAAAACAGGGCAGAATTATGCAAAACCCAAATTTGAAAGGAACTCTGTGACAGAGGGACACTTTCAGTGAAGAAGCATGAAAATTTAGGTCCTTGGTTATGTATATCAGTCTCTTTATGTTAGCCAAAGAATAAGCCTTTTGCGAGTTAAATCTAAATAAATCTGGTAAACCGAGTTCTGTAAATTCACGTGAACATAACAATTTGAATTCTTCATACTGAAGACAATGTTGCTATACCCTGTGATTCAGGGTAAGCTTTTCCCTAGTTACATAACAGACGCTTTGCCTCAATATGCTGTTTTCAATGGATAAGGGCATAAAGGAATCAGTCCATTCCAGAGATGGTGGTTGCTACGAAAAAGCTTGCCCCAAATTACATGTACAAGCTATAGCAACAGTGTCTTTAGTCTGGGGAATTCAATTTATGTTCATGTACAATCAGATATACACTTGGTGCACTAGAAAAGGCTTATTATCCTGCATATAACTCCAGAATAATGTTTGACCACCTAGCACTGTGGCTTAGAAATGTGAACTTGAGTGCCATATCATGCATGAGTGCAACCAATTTTGGATAATTATGAGCACTGGTATTTGAAACAACAAACATTTCTACATGTAGTTAAATACAGTTTATCCATTCCTAGTTAAATACAGTTTATCCATTCCTAGTTAAATACAGTTTATCCATTCGTAGTTAAATACAGTTTATCCATTCATACTGGTCATGACCAGTATGAAATGGTCAACAAAGAATTTGCTACCTGATCTTAAATACTTTTTCTGGCATCATATGAATTTAGACGCCTAAAACTCTGGCCCCTTTTCCCCAATATTAGGAACTGAAATGTTCAGGCTTTGCTAGCACTTGTACAGCAGTATCCATGACTCCGCATTTTGAAAGATCCAATTTAATTCACACTACACTGGCTCATGCCATTCTGCTCCACCTCACAAAAAATACGCAAAGCACTTGTCAATCTTGATGTAAAAATGGTTTACAACTCATGAGGGGCGCAAAGCATGATAATGGCTAGAGGGGTGTTTGAAAACATGAAGTAAAATTGTAGAACGAAATTGTTAGCAATTTATATCTTCTTTTAGCTTTGTAACTCAAATGGTATTAATGAATGGGAATACATCTACATGTATACATGTGCTTGCTAAAGGACAAGCACATGGACGCTCAATTTCCCTTGCCTTTGGCTTGGGCCACTATAAATGTCCATTCTCCTGATTCAAAGACTGATCAAGCACATACTTATTCCTTTAAAAACCTGAGTTCTTTTGTGGGCGAAATTGGTTTAATGAAGGTAAAAGGACACGTGCACACACAGACATAGTCCCACACTTCATTAGCTCCTGCTTGTTACACTGCACATTTACACAAATTCCATTATTACTCATGGTGAACACTGCTTTAACCATTCCTATAACTAGCTAAGGTGCTTTTCAAAAGGGATTTGTATTTACAGTTGCACTCATTCTATTTTCGTTAATTTGTTTTTTTTAATTGAGAACAGAGAAGTGCCAGGGTAAGGACAATGCATGTGTATCCAGCAATGAATGACATACCTGGTAGGGCAGTGGCAACTAGACTTGCTCCTTTTTGTCCCTTCACTAAATTAAGTTCCTCTTCACATTCTGTGAACAAAAATACTTGTATTCTTACAGTTTAGTCACCATTCAAAGATATTGGGATCATGATCAATTATACTTTTTTTATAAGGAAAATCCAGGGTTCAAACAAATATTTACACATGAAGGTAGAACAAATTGAGAGAGACATAACTTCAAACTACTCACTTGTAAGTTTATTGGTCACTCCAATTACTGTTTCTGCTAACCAAAAGAGGACACTCTTTAGATCTGATTTCCTCTCACTGGCTGTAGCTTCATACAGATCATACCTCAATGCTATTGATCCTGTCCCTACATCCAGGCTAACTTTATGAGCTTGTTTTGTGATCTGTAAATCCCCCACAGTAAATGCCTTCCTAAATGTAGGTAACAGAGAATGAAAGCATTAGACAAAGTACTAGTATGTGCATGAAGTTGCATTTGAGAAACAAATCCCCATGCTTAATTTTTGTAAACCTTTTTAACTGCTGAAAACACAAACTACTGTTTTGTCCAAAGAAAGGATGGAATACTTCACACAAATTCTAGTGAAAAGGTAAATGATGTATTAACCATCTCCTCAATGGAAAAAAGGAATTCTACAATCAGATAAAGGATATACTTGGCTAAATCAACTATCACTACTGTATTTAAAGTATCACAATATAGAAATTACTTGATATTTTGCACAATCACTTTTCACAATTTTAAGCAGAAGTAGTAACAAAAGCCCGCACATACTTGAACCGTGTAAAGTAAGCTTCATAGCTTGCCACCTCTGCTAGCTCTCTCTGCAAGGAAAAAACCCTATGATTAGTATTAAACTTATTTTATGAGGTCATATATTCGTTTTTAGATATTCTGAGATGACTGTGTTATTTCATGAATCTGATTTAGGTAGAGCTCGCATGTACAAAAATGTTTAAAATGGGTGAAATCCTTTTCTGGATACCAGCTTTAGGTTGGCTAAAGAACATTTCAGATTGAAGAAACCACAGCTCTCATAGCTGTCTTTTGAGTAAGCTCACACATGTAATCTGCAATGTAATAAAATAAAGTACCACAAGAATTATTTTTCAAAATGTAGCAACATAAATTGTTAATGTTATTTTAAATAAGTTTTAAAGTTTACATTACAAATTAAGGGAATTCATAATGAACTGTTGGCCACTGAAGAAAAATTGGGAATGATAATTGGATCTTCTCATTTGGCACGAAGCAGCACATATTTCGAAGTTAGCCTAAACTATGATGTTCTTTAACAGTATATCCTCCAAATAGCTAGCCATACTTACATGGGAGTCAAGACTGGTCTTGTCCATGATTGATCTCCATACATCAATGCCATCTGTTACACTGTGCAGGTAAAAAAAAGGAGCCAATTAAGTTGTACACCTATTGAGTAGCAAAGTGTGACACCATTTAGAACCAGGAAGTGCCATACAAGCGAATGGAGTATGCATGCATGTTGTTCACATGCTGGTTCTCACGCCTTCCTGGATGTGATTTCGGTACTCTCTACACTAGTACATATGTACACGCACGTACCACTACTGTACTTATGTTCAGAAGATACTGTGCACAAATCTTATGCAAATACATGTAAACTGCACTGTGGTCTATGCACACACACACACGCATAAACTTATGTGTTCGGCTACGACTGGAGATCCCCTGTTTTTCCTCTTTGTTCACGCTTAAGACCTCTCGTTTTTTTTGTAGTATCAAATGGGTTCCCTACTGTCCTCTGTTGTGAAGTTTGGCCATATATTCCAAGATCTTGCAATCTCTCATAGTTACACAGCACAGTTCTAATGATATTAGCTTACAAGTCACACAGCGAGGACTTTTGTTGCTCTCACAGGAACATTTGATTGAAAAGCGGAGTTTGCGCCACCAGATCAGTTACTAAATAAAGCTCAATTCAAAAACCAAACAGTATCACAACCCCATTTAAATAACAATTGCTCCAAGTCACAAGGAGTAGTGAGTTGGAGTTCTTTTAATTCAAAACCTAATAGTTCCAAAAACTACATGTATAGCATTAGTCCCAACTATGGACCAGCTAAACTGTAGTACCATGTAGATGTATAGTAGGGCCGGCCAAACTGTGCCACTGCATTTGCCAAAGTCATTTTGTTGACATCATCAATTTGCTCTTTTAGAAAAACGTGTTAATACAGATTAAGTTTCATATTTCGATGAATTATGTCAGGAGTAAACTGCATGAATTTGGAGAAGGATGAGAAATATTCTACAGAGATTGGCCATCAATAATTGGGCCAGCCCAACTTCAGCACTGTAACCATAGACGTACTGTTTCAACTATGGGTCGGTGGGAACATCCGGGACTCACAAAATGGTAGGTAGTAACTGATGAAAACAGCGACCATGGCAATGCAACGTCCGCATGCACAAGCCAGTCAGAGGATCGTTTTCCACAATCATCAGGATCATTTCTTTGATCTACTGATCAAAGAAATGTATGTATGTGATCAATGCATTTGTTACAGTTGTTTTCATTGATTTCTACCTATTTCTAATTTGCGAAACTCCCGGATGTCTGCCCCGACCTACATGTAGGCCTACAGATAAAAAGAGGAACGCTTCGCTCAGTTGAGCTAGCTAGTGCTGACCCATAGATGGGACTGTTGGGGTGTAGGCCTAACACAGCACAAGGTTACAATAACCTAATTAATAATACATTGGTGCACAGTACAGCGTGTCAAATGATGTTGTGTATATTCAGGGGTTGTTCATTTTCTGATTCTACTGCTCATTGCACAACAGGCATGACAGGACCAATAACGTGAACAATAAAAATGATCTGTTCTTGGCCTAGTAATAGTATAGTAGTAACAGTAGTAGTACTAGTAGTAGTGGATGGTAGGCTCGGCCTACTTCTACTAGTACTAGGCTCAGTCAGTAGTAGTAGTAGCCGACCGTCGGCGCGACTTACTGAACTATCCAGCAGTCTCCAATACAGGATGTGAACGTCAAAAACCGCCCAGAGCCGCAATCGACTACGGCTTGTATCTGTGCAACTTCCCCTTCTTCAGCCAAAGATTTGGCAGATGACATGGTAAATTTACTGTGGCTGAGTGTTATTCAATACACGGCCGTGTGCCTTAGAGCATGGAGAAAACTGGCAGGAAGGTTTAAATGTAATGTACATGGCGTCTCAACGTAACGCTATGGGGGGGGGTTGGAATCGAATTTTTGTGGTGAATTGGCTTGCAGCCTTAAAAAGCTATTGAACCAAATTTTCCCTTTCCAACAAATCTGTTTGATCTTTACTTACTAAGAAGGGGATAATAGTAGTTTCAGAGCATGAGACGTAGTATTTTTTGAAAAAATGAGATCAGCAAGCGCGGTCATTGGTGGGCTCAACGCATGCGCAGTCGGATAAACGTGAACGGTATGAATGAGTGACAGCGGGTGGAAGCGAGAAATTGATGAACCAAAATATCATTTTTTTCCCAAAAATAATCCCTCTCATGCTCTGAAACTACTATTATCCCCTTCTTAGCAGGTATATATTAAGCAGATGTGCTGACAGGGGAAGATTTGGTTTAATAGCTTTTTAGGGCTGCAAACCAATTCACCACAAAAATTCGATTCCAAAACCCGTAGCGTTACGACGCCATGTGAACCTGGAAGCACACGGAAGTTAGTGACTTCGAGCTCCTCCGAGGCACTAGGCTTATTTGCATGCCCTACTATACTTACCGGTCAGGGCGGTTAGCGCCACCAACGTTAGGGTATTATTTTATTTGCGCAGATAATTAATAGGCCACCAGTCACACGTAAAAGGGTGCATTCTATCAATAAAATGGACGTGTTTCTACGCACGAGCTTATTAATATTTTCTGACCCCACAGGGAGTTTTACAATGTGACTTACTATAATCAGGAGGGATCATAGAAACATTTCTATAAATCCCGAATTTGGCACTGGTAGTTTCCAGTTCGGGGTATTTCTTTCACAAAAGCCCCGTAACTTGAAATTGCGGGCCTAGTTTGGATATAGAGGCGGGCGGCTACACTCAGAGCTGAGCAAATAGTTTGACTACCATTTTTTTCAGGGTGTCTTTGGGGGAAAAGCGAATAAACAAGTTCTTGGATAACCCCCATAAATTCGAAACGAAAAGTAATCTTCTGGCCATAATTTTGAACTTCCAGTGAAGAAAACAGAGGCCAATCGCCTCTTCCTGAGAGCCCGCACAGGCAGCCCTATTTCTGTTTGAATTCGCACTGTTTCCGATGGGTGCGTACTTGGCGTAGTACAACCATTGATTGTTGACGGGGATTCTATTGGATAACTTTCAAAAGGAATATACATGAACCATAAAATGAACGGAGGTGTTTGAGAAAATGAAAGTTACGTTTTAGGACCGTGACAAAATCGTTGGAAATCCATCATATGTTGACTTCGTTTGACTCTTTGAACCAGAAAGTATTTATGAATGGGAATAATGTTTAAGACCTTGATCATCGAGACTGAACGCTGATGTTCACA